TTTTTATGCATGCCTTGGACTCCTAAGAACAAGAAAAAAAATCATCATTGATTAGTTTTGAATTTTACTATATAATAAAAAATAAAATCGAAAAAACAGATTTTTTTTTTGAAAATCTCGAGAACCGATTGAATAAAAGAGCTAAAATTTGAGGTGAATTATTTTTATTCGACACCAAATCGATCCCCCAAGTGCGAGTCAAAAAAGTCACGGGGGCAGATTTCCCATACTTATTCGGCTATACCATTTAGGCAAATTATATGAATTCTGGCAATATTCCTAATGATTTTTAATGTTTCATCTAGTTATATAAATTTCTTTTAGGCAAATTTGACTAAACTAATGTATATTTACGGGCTGCAAATAAACTTATACCACTTTCTAAATGAAACAATTGTAAATGTTTTTTCATTTTAATTTAAAAAAAAACACATGTTACATTCAAAATATGTTTTATATTGATCCAATTTTGTTTACAAATAATGATAAGATATAAAATGAAAGTAGTATTTTTAATTTAAGACGTTTACACTGTTAGAAATGCAATATATTGGTAGTATTTACTTATGCTCTGTATATGAGAGTTTTTTCAAATATTTATGATACACAGAAGGTATATAAGGTAATAACTACTTGAAATGTTTATATTTTTCTTAACTAATAGGTCTGACGTCTTGGTACAAAGCTGCCAAGGCTACTTTTACAAATTGCAGCGATTTTTTAGAACGTGTAGGTAATTTACAGTTTTGAATTCTTTGTGTTTTTCATCGATGTTTTAAACCAAATAGTGTATGGTACAATTTTAATAAACCTCATCAAAACAATACTCAATTTATTTTACATAGTTTTAAAACATTTCAGAAACATAATTTATGCGATTCCAAACATTTTTAACTACATAACGTACAAAATTACAAACATAACCTACAAAACAATTTACTACTCATCTATATTTTGTGTGTGAAAGAGATTTGAAGAAATCATGATGTTCGGATGGTATATATCGTAATAGATCAATTACGTCCTTGAATTTTACTGTTGTAATTTGCTGATATTTTATATAGTGGTGTCAATACAATACTTTCAAACTTTTTTAGTCTACCTCAACGTGGTAATAAATTAAGTATTTTAAAATTTTCATTCTCATTCATTGATGTCTTATAGAAAATTTTATATGGTTCATTTCTGTAAAAGCTAAGGATAAAAGTTTAGATAGAGATAAGATGAAACAGCCACTGATTGAGATATCTAAAATTGAAAGAACTATTTGCCTAGGGTGCTTAGCGAACTATGGCGAAGACTGTATACAGTGCTACAGTTGCTATGGGTGGGCTCATGAAGCATGTGCAGACAATCCTGAATTTTCAGACGTCTACATGTTTGATCAATGCCGTATAATTTAAAAATCTCCGGTGCTAGTTYTTCGAAGTGAAATCTGTCTGGTACTAGGTGACACTTCCAGCGATTGTATATTTTGACACCAGAGTTTAATTCTTATTTTTAAATATGTTTATGCAAAAATTGTATTTTTGTTAATTTTATTTGAATCTATAGTTTGTTGACTTCATTAATTAATAAATAATGTTACATTCAAAATTGATATCCTTAAGTGTCTTCTACTAAGCTATTTCCTCCTTTATTTTATGTAGTAATATCGAATAGAACTAATGAATATAGAAAAATAGATAATTATTCGACTGTATTTTATGTTTATGTTACGTAAACGTGACGTAGAATGCTGACAAAGGATCTAAAGCTGTGTGTTATCGATACCGAGCATTGCGTTAACTTAGACCATGTTTCTGAAATGTATACACGTACGTATGTATACGCACGTGTACTAGTAAACCATGTGTGCAAATTTAGTCTAAAAATGATACACAAACTTATAATGTTAATTATTGATAACAGATTAAATATCGATTCGTTCTACGTTAAATCGAAAAAAGTTTAATTGAATTTTTAAAATAGTACGAATTTGGGGAATGAAATTTATTGGATTATAAGAAAATCGTTTTATAAGAGTGTTAAGTGTAATAATAACATTCATAAATATTTTCTATACTATAGTTAAAAAAAAAAAAAACTAGGACACTGACGCCAATGTTCTTTCATTATTCTTTTTTGTTCAATCACGTGCCATCGTTTTGTTTTGTTTTTTTTTCTTATTAGATTGAACTTGCTTCAGAAACATTTTCATAGTACAAATATGTACTATGTACATATGATAGTACATATCATTCTATGTATCTATGATAGATAGAAAGAGAACACATTCGGGACCAATCTCTTAGGCATATAACGTCATTGGTATTTGACGCATCGTTAAATCCCGTCCCGTTTCCCTATAATTCGATATAAGCCGGTTCACCATCATTACGTTGCCGAACCATTAAGGGCATCGCCACCGATTATTCTCCTGGTCATTGCAATTTCGATTCTCTCTCGTATCGATCTCCTCCTCTCGAGCAGGAAATAGGGTCATTCGATTACCTTCTCATCAGAAACAACGCTTTTTGGTCTACCTAATTGTCAAATAAATGATATTCAAGTAAGAAATATGTATTAATGTTTATTTCAATTTCTTATTCTCAATGAAATCTTAAATGTAATTCAATCTTTCATATAGTTTTAATATCTTGTTCATAATCAAATCTTTTAAATCTTATTTTATTATTAATGAGTTGAACGACTTAAAATATATCTAATTACGTATGAATTATTGAGYTGTATTACTTAAAAATAAAATCACTAAATCCTTTGAGACACGGAATTTTAGAAAATACAAAGATCCACGTTGGACATAAATTTTATTTAGTTTTCTAAATTGCATAAAGTTGCTTTWCTTATTATTAAAACATCAAAAATAATCATAATTAATTAAGCTTCTTATTATAAAGTGGGACTCTCCAATAGTACAACCGTGCAAAAGGTAGAATAATTGAAATACTATAAATACTATTGCACTTTAAAAAGTTAAAATTATAGTGAATAATAAGGAACTTTCGTATTTCCGTGGAAATAAATTATGTTGAAAATAATTATAAGATGAACAAYGTAGTTGGGTTGATAAAGAGACTCTGACAGTTTAATAATAGGTTCATTTCACTTAAACTTCCCGTTCCGTTCTTTTTATCAGTTTTTTTTTTTTCATCGTTTTATCGACAAAAGAGAAAATCTTTGGCATTCGGTTCATAGGCCTTAAACGAGGTGTTCCGTGACGGCAACAGGTAGAATGGGCGCATTACTTGCGTAGCAACGTCCATTAACGAGCGTACTACTACTAACACCGGATTGGTTCTAGCTATCAGTTTAAATTGCATCGCAAGTGCTAGAATCTCTCTCTATGCCAACAAACTGACACGAAATTGCTTATTGAGAAGTTAATATAGATCGTTGACAGGTCGTTTATGATCCGATGTTTTCTTACTTTAAACATTGAGAAGATTATTTAACCTTCTTTTTTCTTGAGTATATAGTAAAAGTTATTTTTAACATTAAACGTATCGCGAAAAAGAAATTTTAAATTGTCAATTATTTATATTCTGTATTTTATGTTATATATAAACATTATTTTACAGATTATTTAAGTAATGTACAAATTAAGTAAAGATTTTTGTTGGAACAACAGGAATGTTTCTGTATATTTAAATTAACAAAATATTATTTAGAATATTTGGTAAATTCTGGACTCTCCACCCGTTAATGTAGCCAATTAATTATTTAGTTAGGTAATGTGCAGAATTACTARGGTTATTTTATTTCTCAAATTACTCAAGTAATTTGCACAAATATCTACTAGGCATTCGTTGAATTTAATCTTTGTTAGAAAAACAACACAAATTCACTACACTTAAATTATTTACAATATTAATTAAACATTGTATTCAGCACTTTAACGAATCAAATCAATTAATCTGCAGATTAGCTAAGTAATGTATAAATTACCAGCTTTTGAGATTTATTGGTAACATTGTATGTTATTCGAACACAACTTCATACCAAATATAATAGATATTCCTGAGGAAATTGACCAAGGAGTCAACTATCGGGTCAATCTGGCACCCCTATACAGAGGTCAAACCTGAATGGRTTAATGGATATATCAGTTGACCGGAAAACGAAAGATCYTYTGAGTTTCAGTACCAATCCTGTCAACCGTTCCATTTTTATTCACGAATTTTATATTAMATTTCTTCATTTCACTTATTTTACTTCTCTTACCATCACACCAATATTAAATCATTCATTATATGACAAATATTTTTGTTGAGARTCCAAATATACATTTTTTAACCAGTTAMCTGTGATTGACGAGTATACTCGTCATGGAGAAATATTAACGAGTATACTCATCATTYGTATAAATWAKTGACCTTTGACCATTTAAATTGCAATTGTTGAGAAWAACAAAACATATTTTTAAATTTTAATATGTTTYAAGTGTGTTTCTGTGATTGACGAGTATACTCGTCATATCTCGATTCTGACGACACAAAACAGTGCGTAATCTCAAACGAGAAMGCCACAATTAATTGGTTAAATAAATCATAAAATTTTCTTTCGTTTAGGTTTAATATTAAATCATCGAATGTATGAAAAAATATTTTTGTTCTATTTCAAATATRAATTTCAGAAATAAATMATGAAATGTTGTCTCGATCGATATTAGAAMGGTGTACTWGGTCGTTTACTTAGAACAACAGRTTATTGAACGAACCGTATTCTTCTAATGCTATTGAWAATAAAGGATAAAARAGAGTTTAGGTTTGTTTATTTAAAATTTTGCAATTTTTTTTTGCTCGGAGAGTGGGACGTGTTTATTTATGCTTTCCCATTTATCCGMGAGCCATTTGATATTTACGTCACGCGGATAAAATCGAGTGCTAGCGACCGTGGGGAGTATCAAATTATCGAGATAAAAATTTGAAAAATATAAAAAGTGAATTTTTATCATCAGAGTGTGGAGACGACAAAATTAAAAACNTATATTATATTACTTTTAGGTATAGAACTTGGCTCCAGCACTTTTTCTTTTAATTTATTTTGTATTTCCTGAGTGTTTACGCCTTTTGAAGCTGTGGGTAGGCTTATTTCCAATTGCTTTGCTAACTCATCTTGATTCATACGAGGGTTTTCATKAATCAAATGCACCAATTTTTCATCTTCCAATTCTCTATGTTGTCTTTTTAAAGTAGTTCTTTCTAAATAAATATAACCCGACTTGTAGCGTTTATACCATCAACAACATATACTTAAGGATATAATATCTATTCTATATATATATTATAGTATAGGTAAATTTAATATATATATCTATATATATTACCAAGGGGTAAAGAACTTTGTTCCTGTTTTTTTTCTTCTAATTTGTTTTGATATTCCTGTCTTTTTAGGTATCTGGAAACTGTCATTCTATTTTTTCCAACTTTTGTTGCCATCTCTGTTTGAGTAATATCCGGGTTTTCCAGTTTCAAACGCACTAATTCTTCAATTGTCTTTTCTCTATTATTTCTTCGTCCNAGAGAGAGAGAGAGAGAGAGAGAGAGAGAGAGAGAGTGGATGGAACCGAAGTAAACACAAGAAAGAAAGAATAAAAAAATCACCCTTGTACGTTTCGTATTTTTATTTTATTTTGCTTATTCCTTGTGAGCGATAGAAGGAAAAGATATTATTTTAAATAAAAAAAAAATAAGTAAAGTCCAAGGACGAAGATATTATACATACAAATAGAATTTTCAAGTAAAAAAAAAAATCGTAATTGGATTTTCGCAATCTCCTTTTCTTTTCCTCTCAGAAGAACATCGACTTTAGAATTTTCATTTCGCAGTTGTAACAGGACGATCTTAACAATATTAAGATTTACATGTATTTTTGTATATATAATAGTTCTATATTATATTTTTGTATATTAATGTTCGTTAAAAATATTTTAATAGAAAATAATTCATTTATGTATATTTCAATAAAAAAAACAACGAAATTGTAGAAGAAATATAACCATTGGATAGACTGAAAAGTTTCAAGCAAAAAATCCTGACGCAACCTTAATGAAAAAAGGACAAAATCTTGATGCAACCTTGACAAAAAAATAACAAAACTCTGATGTAATTTTGACGAAACAATGACAAAACTCTGATACGACCTTGACGAAACAATGACAAAACTCTAATGCAACCTTGATGAAACAATGACAAAACTCTGATGCTACTTTAACGAAACAATGACAAAACCTTGATGAAACCATGACGAAAAAATGACAAAACCTTGATGCGACCTTGACAAAAAAATAACAAAACTCTGATGTAATTTTGACGAAACAATGACAAAACTCTGATACGACCTTGACAAAACAATGATAAAATTCTGATGCAACCTTGACAAAACAATGACAAAACCTTGATGCAACCTTGACGAAATAATGACAAAACCTTCATGCAAGCTCGACGAAACAATGACGAATCCCTGACGCAACTTTAACGCAACTCTGATGTAATCTTGACGAAATAATGACGAAACCCTGATGCAAATTTGATGAAACCTTCATAAAACATTGACGCAAACGAAACCTTTCGAGTGCTTTAATATCTTTTTATAATAAAATATATCTCCCTAAGATAATTATTATTAAACATATATTGTTTTTTATTTATTAAATGTCAAGCAAAAAGTTTGTTTAATATTTGGAATTTTTAAAAATATATTTTTTTTTTAATAATTTGAATATTTTAAAATATTTTTTTTAAATATTTGGATAAGTTTGTTATTTTTCAAATTAATTCTTGATTTGAATCGTTAAGAAAAACCTTTTTTTTTTTAAATAAAAAAACAAATTACGAAGATACCATTTGCTGTCCGGCAAATGCATTTATATATTTCACGGCCGTTCAGGATAATGCATTTTCTACGTCAAGATTCCTTCGACTATAGTGGATGAAAATGCTAGTAGCAGTAGTAGTAGTTGTAGTAGTAGTTGTAGTAGTAGAAGAAGGATATCGACATTTTCTTCAAGCCTTTCCATGAAAACCTTCTATCGACGTGACCGATTGATCGATATAAATGATAATATTATATTTCATCGTATATTATAAATTACTCTGAATTTAGACATAGTTGTCAGTCTTCGAAGTAATTCAAATTTTATTTAAAACTTCATGATTTATATCAATGAAATATTCATTTTCATTGTCATTGATCAAAGATAAAAAATCAAAGTATATAAAACGATTATTATCGATTATTATTTATATAAAAAAAAAATTATTATAGAAAAAGATTATCTTAAATTGTATTACAAATTTTAATTTTTATAAATTTTATTCTAATATTTTAAGAACAACTTTATTTTCGAAAACCCTGAGCTTTTTTTCGTCTTTTTAAAACTCTCTTTAGGGTTGCGTCAAGGTTTTGTCAAGGTTTTGTCATAATTTGGCCAGGGTTACGTCATTGTTTTGTCAGGCTTTTGTTATGGTTGCATCAAAGATTCTCTAAATATTTTATATCAAAGAAATGAAAACTGTTCGACGAGTTAGGGAAAAATGTGTGAGTTAAAGTTTATTTTTTGTATTTTTTTAAAACTCTCGTTCGGATTTCGTCAGGATTTTGTCAAGTTTTAGTCAAGGTTTTGTCAAGGTTCTGTCAGGATTTTGTCATGGTTGAGTCAAGGTTTCTCTAAATCTTAACTGTTAAATTTATCATTGCTATACTTATTTAAACATTTTAAGTCAATGAAACGAAACTGTTTGACGAGTGAGGAAAAATTGTGTGAATCAATGTTGTTTCTAGTCTCTTTAATACTCCTGTTCGGGTTGCATCAGGTTTTGTCAAGTTTTTGCCAAGGTTTTGTCAAGGTTTGGACAGGATTTTGTTATTGTTGCATCAAAGATTCTTTCAACGTTTTCGCGTTAATAATAAATGAGTTTGTATTGTCCCCTCTCAAGGAATATCTTTAGTTAATGAAGTGTATAAAATAAGACCTAGTAAACTTCACTCTAGGGAAAATACGAAAATATAACTAGAATTAGAACTAGAGTATCTTTTTTCTGAACCAATCGACAATTTTTTTTTTATTGGACGATGATTTACGTTTTATCTACTCGAATAAATTTTCGTTGACCGATCGATCGGTTATTTTCGTCAATCTATGTTTTATTTCTATACTTTCTTCCTTTCTCTGTTTTTCTCTTATGGTTCATATATAAAAATTTCTTCTGGAGAAATCGACCGACATAACATTTTCGAACGAAACTTCCGAGATTTATTCGTGAAGAGAGAGGAAGTTTAAAATCCTCGTTTCCTTTCGTTCTTCTTCGTCCTTTCGGAAGAAAACTATTTTTCTCTTTTTATCTTTTTACTTTCCTTCCTTCTCCCACCCTTTACTACTTTTATGAGCATCGATAAGAATAATAAAATATATTATAAGTATAAAATGATAAAGAGAATTACACGAGTCACTTACATAATAGAAACTCAACATGATTTTTTTTTTATTATTATTATTATTTTATTATCTGATTATTATCTTATTATTATATTATATTATATTATTGGTACTTACGTATTAACGCCACCGCAACAAAAATTCCGCTAATGCGCCAATAAAGAGCAATCTTGTTGTTCGCACACGACAACCTTGTTGTTTGCACACAGCAACCGTCAGGGTTGCGTCAGGGTTGCGTCAGGGTTTCGTCAGGGTTGCGTCAGGTTTGCGTCAGGGTTCCGTAAGGGTTGCGTCAGGTTTGCGTCAGAGTTCCGTCAGGGTTGCGTCAGGTTTGCGTCAGAGTTTCGTCAGGGTTATGGCGACAGCGATTGTTTTGAATCTATGTTAAATTCTATATCGGCCCATTTTTCACCGAAATTCGGTTGACTACTTTTTATAAATAAAGTGTTTTGAATTGTTAAAGTGTTTCGATTTTAAATGAAGTTTTTTATTCTATGATTTGTCGCAACAATTTAAGGAGTAGATTGTAGCATTAGCGGAATTTTGCTGTGGTGGCGTTAATACGTAAGTACAATATTATTTTATTAATATTTATTTATTTATTCTTATAATTGTATTATGATATTATGATTTATTATTATATTCTGATTTTTATATTTTATATTATGATTTATTATATATTATATTTTGATTATTAGAATATAATAATATTAGTAATATAAAAATAATCTAATATTAATATTAGTTATCTGTAAATAAATGAAATTCTAAAAGTAGAATATATTAATATAAATATTAATAATATATTGTATATAAATAAATATAATAAAGAAATAGTATAAAAAGTATATTCTGATTATAATATCATTATAGTATTATTTGTTATTATATTCTGATTATTAGAATATAATAATATTAGTAATCTAAAAATAATTTAATCTTAATACTGGTAATCTATAAATAAATTTAATTCTAAAAATATAATATAATATAAATATTAATATAAATATTATTAATATTATATATAAATAAATATCATAAAAAAATAATATAAATAATACTCCGATTATATTATTATCATATTATTTTTTATTATTATATTCAGATTATTATTTATTCTGATTAGAATATTATTATAATATGATTTCCTATTATATTCTGATTGTATTATTATTATATTATTATTTGTTATTATATTCTGATTATTATAATAATATATTTATTAGTATATTATTTTGACAAATATATACTAGCCTATAACTCTTTGACACGAATACCATTGAAATAAAGAACAAAATAAGTAAAAAGGAATAGAAAAAAGAAATATAAGAAAAAAATAAAAGGGAGACAAATACATCTAATAATCGACCCTTGGTTCCATGACATTTCACTCAATCCAAATCCTTTATCTGACAATTCGATTTGTTCTCGAGGACCCTATCGAAGGGTCATCCTACCGTGAGATATAAAAATGACTTCGATTTGATCGATAATCTTATGCGAGTCTCTGAGAAGTCCCCTTTTTGAATTACGTTGGCATCTTCAAAACAAATGAAAAATTTTCCATGAAATTAAATTGACGAATATGTTTTTTAGTCAATTATTTTAAATAAATTAACAATATTTTGAAGTTTTACGAGA